AGAGCTCAGGGGCAGCTCCCAGGCCCAGGGTTCAAGCCCCATGACCTATGGGGGGGGGGGGGAAGAAAAACCACCCCTAATTGTTAAATACAGCTGTCATTGTGAAATACAGCTGAGGAAGATAGTCAAATAATGCTAAAAGAATTTGAAGAAAAGAATAGAAAATAAAAAGGGGGGAAGAGTATGAGAAAAGCATCTTTTCTTTCAAAGTAGTCGGCTTCCTTTCTGTTCATCTTGAAAGAATGGTTTTCCAGGAGGGTTCCTGCTTTGTCTAGGTGGCTTGGCCCTTGTTAATGACATTTTAGTTGTCTATATCCTTTTCTTGAATACTTTACCTGGGATACATCCTGCTAATTGGGAAGCATTGTTTTGTGGATTGTGAACCTGAGCTCAGCCAATGGGGGCAGAGGGGCGGAGCCTGCTGGGTTAGGGATATAAAAGGAGCAGTCTGTAAACTTTGCCTTTGGAGTTTCCTTCCAGGTGGTGTCTTTATTCCTACAGGACACACCCAACATCCCAAGCTATTTCTAATGGGGCCAAGCAAGGGATCAGTAGCTCTTGAGACAGGTAAGCCCAGGGGCTCTGAGAAAGAATACAAGAGCTACCTGATTCAATGAGTGAACCAGAAACCAAGCCGTTCTAGCAAGTACTGAATCATTTCCATTGATTAGGGAAGCCTACCCTAAAAGGAAAGCAAAGGCAAAGGTCAGACCCAGCTGAGGGCATCTTGGATGCCTTCCTCTGTACAGAGCTTGGCCCCCGGTTAAATGGGGGAGAACATGGCTTTCTGACGGATGGGTCTCCTTTCTGTTTCCTGTAGCTTGGAGACACCAGAGATTTCCTGTCCCCTCCTTATTTCTTCATTCCTTTGTCCGTACTTCCTCATTCTTTTATTAGTGAAAAAGCTAAAGGACAGTGCCCAGACTCTGAGTGTGAGCCTCCATACTGGCACAAACACACACCAAAAGAGAGAAGTTTTTTCAGATCTGAATTTATGGGCTCTTGCGCACATGCACACACACAGGCTGTTATACACACATTCAAGCATACGTGGGTTTTACATACACATATAACACAGTTCTGTATGTGTGTGCATATACGTGCTGGTACTGGGTCTTTGACCATGGGACCTGGTCATTGACTTTCAGCTTTTTTTTTCTTTTGTGTCAGTCGTGGGGCTTGAACTCAGGGCCTGAGTGCTGTCCCAGAGCTTTTTTGCTCAAAGCTAGCAATATATAACTGCTTTGAGCCACAGTGCCACTTCTAGTTTTTAGGTGGATAATTAGAGATAAGAGTCTCAGACTTTCCTGCCCAGGCTGGCTTCAAACCGTGATCCTCAGATCTCAGCCTCCTGAGTAGATAAAATTACAGGCGTGAGCCACCAGTCTCAGCATTATTTAGGTTTTTTAAAATTATTTTGTTTTAGCACTACTAGGGTTTGAATTCACTTGGTGGCTCACACCTGCCATCCTAGCTATTCAGGAGGTTGAGATCTGAGGATCACGGTCTGAAGCCAGCCTGGGCAGGTAAGTCTGTGAGACTCTGATCTTTAACTATCCACCTAAAAACTGGAAGTGGCACTGTGGCTCAAAGCAGTTATATATTGCTAGCTTTGAGCAAAAAAGCTCTGGGACAGCACCCAGGCCCTGAGTTCAAGCCTCATGACTGACATGGTCATGGGGTTTGAACTCCAGGCCTGGGCGCTGTCCTTCAGCTTTTCAGCTCAAGGCAAGTGCTCTACCACTTGAGCCACAGCGCCACTTCCAGTTTTCTGGTGGTTTATTAGAGATAAGAGTCTTGTGGACTTTCCTGCCCAGGCTGGCTTCAAACCGTGATCCTCAGATCTCAGCCTCCTGAGTAGCTAGGATGACAGGCGTGAGCCACTGGCTCCGGGCTCCTAGTATTTTTTTTTTTTTTTTTTTTTACACAAAATGTTGCTATTGTGAAGAAGCAGGCAACTGTAACAAGGCATCTCAGCGCATAACTTCTTACAATTACATGCAGATCTACAGTGACTGGGATAAAACTTCAAATAAAAGGGAGAGAACACAGAAAAAGCAGAGAGGCAAGCCAGAGTGGGAGGGAACATTGGTAATTCCCATAACGAATTTGTCTCTAGAATATACACCTTTTTGGGGGGTCAGTTGTGGGCCTGGGCATTTCCCTGAGCCTCTTTGTACTCAAGGCTAGTGTTCTACCGCTTGAGCCACAGCACCACTTTGGGTTTTTTTGAGTGGTTATTTGGAGATAAGAGTCTCATGGGGACTTTACTGCCCAGACTGGCTTTGAACCATAATCCTCAGATCTCAGCCTCCTGAGTAGTTGGGATGACAGGTAGAAGTTACCAGCACCCATTTTAGAATATACAACGTTTCAAATCAATAAGGAAAAGACAACTCAATGGCCAGAAAACATATGAAAAGTGCTAGGTGCCGGCAGCTCACGCCTGTCATCCCAGCTACTCAGGAGGCTGAGATCTGAGGACTACTATTCCAGGAAAGTTTGTGAGAATCTTATCTCCAATTAAGCAGCAAAAAGCAGAAGTGGAAGGATGGTTCAATGGTAGCGTGCCAGCCTCAAGCACAAGAACGAAGTGAGAGTCTGAGTCCCTGAGATCAAGCCCCATTACTGACACAAAAAAAACCATGAAATTACAAAAAGGTGTTTGAACATCATCGACATCAAGAAAAGGCAACTTAAAGCCACTAGACGCCACTACCATTTGAATCACAGCTCCACTTCTGGCTTTTTTGGTGGTTAATCAGAGATAAGAGCCTTATGGACTTTCCTGAAGCCTGGGCTGGCTTTAAATCAGGATCCTCAGATCTCAGCCTCCTGAGTAGCTGGGATTACAGGCGTGAGCCTTGGGGCACGAGGCTACACGTGTAGTCATTTGCTTAAAAACCTGTAATACATCTAACATTGTGCAAATGGATTTCCCCAAACCACCACAAAACCAAACTTTCAACACTTCAGGATTTGTTTGTAATTCTTCTCTAGCCTTCTCCCTAGCCACAATACTCAGTTCGTAAATTATTTATATGATCTCTTTCTCCTCTTCAGTAGAATGGTGACAACTCTTTTGAAATACAGTTGGGTTTATTGGTTTTAGTTTCCCTTCTGATTGAGGGATTTTCCTCCCTACCTATCATTACAGATGCAATTTTAAAACATTAACTTATATATGCATGCAAAAAATGTATACTCCAGCTCCACCTTTCTCTTATGCTTTCAAGTCTTCTAAGTAACTGTGAGGCAATTTTTTTAATCCCCCCCCCCCCCACACACACACATACACCAGGGCTTGAATTCAAAGCCTTGGGCTCTCACTTGGCTTTCTTACAGCTGGTATACTACTTGAGCCACACCTCTAGACCTGCTTTTTGCTAGTTACTTGGAGATAAGAATCTCAAGGACTTCTGACCAGGCTGGCTTTGAACCAAGATCCTCAGAGTTCGGCCTCCTGAGAAACTAGGATTGCAGGTGTGAGCCACTCACCAGTGTCTGGCCATCTTCAGTATTTTATAGGGAACTGGTCGATCTTTGGTTTCGATTTGTATCTGTGTGTGTGTGTTTGTGAGTGCTTGCGCTTTATTTTATGATCATAGTATCTCATGGAATTCTCCCTTAGCAACCCCTGGGGTCATTATCCTTTATCTTTTCCCTTACCACACAGTGTTCATTCTGTACTTGCAGCACATCTTAGCTTATTCAACAACTTCCTGTGCTTGTTTACAGCCCTAGTTAACCTTTGTGCATATCCATTTTGCATTGTTTTGGTTGGTCCTGGGGCCTGAACTCTTTTGCTCAAGGTTCTACCACTTTGAATCACAGCTCCACTTCCAGTTTTTGAGTGGTTCATTGGAGATAAGAGTCTCAAGGGGACTTTCCTGCCCGGGCTGGCTTGGAACCTCCATCCACAGATCTCAGCCTCCTGAGTAGCTAGGATGACACTCCAGAGCCACGGGTACCCAGCTGGGAATACTTCCTTGCTCCACACTAAGGTACCATAATTTGCCCCCCACTCCCATCTCTAACACACACACACACACACACACACACACACACACACACACACACACACACACACACAGCTTTTGTACTATCAACACGGGGGAGAAAGCTGAGAATAAAGCAGTTCTGAGCTTGGAGCTAGGGAAAGGCTACTTGAACCCCCACAGGGTGCCCAACCCTTGCTCTAAAGGAGGCCTGACTCTTTCAACCTGGCTCTAACCTTAGGTAGGGGAAAGAAAACATTTAAATCTAGAGAGGCCCCCTAGGCATAAAAGGATAACTAGGCTCCAGGTTTCCCCACAGGCCCGGCAGGGTGGGTCCCTAGCTTCTTTGTTATTCATCTATTAGAATTAACACTCAACCTACAGGCTCTGGGCTTAACAAACACCAGAGGGGGGCAGGAGGCTTAGGAAAACAGACTCCTGTCGCTGCCAACTGCAGATCAAAGAAGTCAGTTGGGCTCAAGTGGTTAGAGCACCAGCCTTGAGCATAAAAGCTGAGGGATGGCCCCAGGCCCTGAGTTCAAGCCTCGGTACTGGCAAATACAGTGGATAATGCTACAACTGTCCCTCCACCACACACACAATTGCTCTTTGCATGATTGGTATAGAAATAAGAGTGGGTAATAACCGCTGGTGACAGCCAAGCCATCCATGCCACCATGACTTCAGAAAAAAAAAAAAAGAGGCATCTCCACTCTTCAGGACTCACTTCACGTTTTCTGCAAGACTCGGGGCAAAGCAAGGCAAAGTAGCACATCGGCTACTCCACCCTCTTCAAAGTACTCGGGGTATACTGACTGTACCCCCCCAACTCGCTCTACACCTGAAGAGTGGGGGTGGTGGGGGTGGTATAGATTCATTGTCTTTATAAATCCCAACCTGGGCCTCAAACCTACACACAATGGTGGAACTGAAGCTCCTTCCACGCACAAAGCGAGACTAGACTTTGGGGTGGGTGGGTTTGGCTTTGAGGAGCCCCAGGAGCTAAGGCAGGGGTGCAGGGGTGCAGGGGTGCAGGGGTGGGCCTTGGGCAGACCCCGGGCCTGCGGAGGGCTGGAGTCTGAAGATGCCGGTGGGGGATGTGGGGGGCACACTGAAGTTTGCTCTGATGAGGGGCGGGAGCCCCCCTCGTGCTGATGAAGTTACTGGGGAGCAGGCAGAGACACCCCAGGTTCAGAGACAGGCCCCGCAGGAAGTGCTCCCCGGAAAGCCGGGCCGGGGGGAAGCGCCTCTCTGGGAGTGGGGGGGGGGGCTGGGGGACCCCGGGAACCCACGTCTTGGGGCGCGCCCGCGAGGGTTGGGGTGCAGTCGGGGTCCTGGTCGATGTCGGGGTTTGGGTGGAGGCTGGCCGTCCGTCCGCAGTCGAGGTCTGAGTCTGGGTCTAGGTCGGGGTACAGGTTGGGTGCAGCGCGAGTCTGCATCGGGGTTCGGCTCGAGGTCGGGGTCCGGGTCGACGGCAGCGTGCAGTCGGGGTCGGGGTCCGGGTCTACGTCGGGGTTCAGCTGGCGTGGGGTCTAGGTCGGGGTGCAGTCGGGGTCGGGGTCCGCGTCGGGGTGCAGCCTGGGTGGGTGTCGGGGTCTGAGCCGGCGTCGGGGCGCGGTCGGGGTCCAGGGCCTTGTCGGGGTGCGGTCTGGGTCCCGGGCCTTGTCGGGGTGCGGTCGGGGTCCCGGGCCTTGTCGGGGTGCGGTCGGGGTCCCGGGCCTTGTCGGGGGTCCCGGGCCTTGTCGGGGTCCCGGGCCGGTGTCGGGGTGCGGTCGGGGTCCCGGGCCTTGTCGGGGTCCCGGGCCTTGGGGTCCCGGGCCGGTGTCGGGGTGCGGTCGGGGTCCCGGGCTGGTGTCGGGGTGCGGTCGGGGTCCCGGGCCTTGTCGAGGTGCGGTCGGGGTCCCGGGCCGGTGTCGGGGTGCGGTCGGGGTCCCGGGCCGGTGTCGGGGTGCGGTCGGGGTCCCGGGCCGGTGTCGGGGTGCGGTCGGGGTCCCGGGCCGGTGTCGGGGTGCGGTCGGGGTCCCGGGCCGGTGTCGGGGTGCGGTCGGGGTCCCGGGCCGGTGTCGGGGTGCGGTCGGGATCCCGGGCCTTGTCGGGGTCCCGGGCCTTGTCGGGGTCCCGGGCCGGTGTCGGGGTCCCGGGCCGGTGTCGGGTGCGGTCGGGGTCCCGGGCCTTGTCGGGGTTCCCGGGCCGGTGTCGGGGTGCGGTCGGGGTCCCGGGCCGGTGTCGGGGTGCGGTCGGGGTCCCGGGCCGGTGTCGGGGTCCCGGGCCTTGTCGGGGTCCCGGCTGGTGTCGGGGTCCCGGGCCTTGTCGGGGTCCCGGGCCTTGTCGGGGTCCCGGGCCGGTGTCGGGGTCCCGGGCCGGTGTCGGGGTGCGGTCGGGGTCCCGGGCCGGTGTCGGGGTCCCGGGCCGGTGTCGGGGTGCGGTCGGGGTCCCGGCTGGTGTCGGGGTCCCGGCTGGTGTCGGGGTCCCGGCTGGTGTCGGGGGTCCCGGCTGGTGTCGGGGGTCCCGGGCCTTGCCGGGGTTCCCGGGGTCGGGGGTCCCGGGCCTTGCCGGGGTCCCGGCCGGTGCCGGGGTTCCCGGGGTCGGGGTCCCGGGCCTTTGCCGGGGTTCCCGGGGTCGGTCGCGGCCCGGCCGGGGTCCCGCGCGGGGGCGGGGCGGCGGCGGCGGCGGCGGCGGCGGCGGCGCGCGCGGGGCCGGATGGGACGTGACGGCGCGCGCGGCATTGTGGGAGCCCCGGGCCGCGGCGCTGGTTCCAGTGGCGGCGGCGGCGGCGGCGGCGGCGTCGGGGCGGCGGGGGGCGAGCGCGGGCCGCGGGCGGGAAGGCGGCGGCGGCGGCGGCGGGAGCGCGGAGAGAAAAGGCGCGAGCGAGCGGCCGACGGGCTCGGGCCGGACCCCTGCGGCCGCGCGGACGCCGCCCTCGCCTGGGCCTCGGCCTCGGCCCCGGTAAGTGCGGCGCGGGCCCGGCCTCCCCCGGCCCGGCCCGCGCGGCCCCGCGTCGGCCGCAAGGCGAATGGACGCCGACCCGGAAACCAAGTTGTGCGGAGTCGCCGCTCCCGCGCGCGGGCCGCGGCTCGACGGCGCGGGGCCCGGCCGGGGGGGGGGGCGAGGGGAACGCGACGGGGCCGGGAGCAGGGTGAGCAGGGGGTGTGTGTGGGGGGGCCTCGAACCCCAGGGGTGCTGATGGATGGGGGGGGGTCCCCTGGGCCCAGCCGGGCTGGGGGGGATGGGGAGGTGGGGGGGATGGGGAGGTGGGGGGATGGGGAGGTGGGGGGATGGGGAGGTCGGGGGATCCCCCCCCACCCGGGGGTCACGCCAACCCCAGCGCGCTCCTGGCCTTTTGTTTGCTTTGTGATGGGGAGGTGTGCTGGGTGGTGTGTGTTTGAGGTGATGGGGGGGGGGGTGGGGAGAGGACTGGGAAGGAGGTGTGTGTGTGTGGGGGGGGGTCCCCTAGGTGGAGGAGGGGGGCGCCCCGGGACTCAGGGCCGGGGTGGAGAGCCACCAGCGACGGGGAGGCTGGTTCTGGGCTCTCACCTGACAACAGGTGTGTGCTGGAGGGGGAGGGGGAGAGGAGGAGGAGGAGGAGGAGGCAGGGGACACCCCCCCCCCCCTTCCCCTCGCTCCTCATCGCCCAGATTTGCTGCTGTGGAGACTGGATTGGCTGGTCAGGTGCATCCTAAGACATTTGCAAAGGAGGTTGGGTCCAAATCGTATTCCCTCCCCCTAAGAACCCCCCCCCCCCAAAAAAAAACAAAAACAAAAACCCAAAGTTCCCACAGCTGAGCTAGGCCGGGAATTCCACGCTGGAGCCATGACTCCCAAAAGCCCTTGCAATAAGACTTTCTTTTCTTTTTAAAAGATCCAATAAACAGCAGAGAAGAATAGACAATTAGAGGGAGGGGGGAGGGTAGAGAAAGGGGGGCCTCTCCCCTCCCCTCCTAGGCTGCCCTCTTTCCTAACAGGTTTGTGGTTTGAGGTTTTACGGTTAAAAGGGAGGAAGTGCTTTGTTCTTTCTCAGGCTCCTGGCTTTGGGGAGTTCAGGTTTTTGTGTGTGTGTGGGGGGGGGGGGGATGGGGGGAACAGCTTTGGAGGTCTGAGCTGCCAGACTCAGGTTGCAAATTTAAGCAGAAGCTGCCAGATAACCCACCTGTCGCCTATACTGCAGGGTTTCATCCTTAGGACCCTGGTCTGCTGTCCACCATGTTGTTAACTCTGAACCGAGCGCCTGGGTGGAATGAAGACTCCTTGTACCCACTTGGGCAGTTGTAACTCGAACTCTGTGGAGACTTGTCCACTGGGATGACTGTGCTTCTAAACTTCAATTTGTCTTATGACGGTGAAACTCCTGAACACTGCCCATTCTTCCCCCTTCCATACTAGGAGCGAGGGACAGCAATCTGGTCTATTCTTTTGATTTGTTGCTCCCAGATAAGCCAGGAGGGGGTTGGAACTGAAAAATGTTTGCAGCAGAATCTGATTTAGGGAGAGCTCCGGTAAACTTTGAGAGTCTTCTGGAACTTCTTGTGACATTCTAGTGACACCACCACATCGCTGGCCTGCTTTTCATCAGATGGGGCCGGGCTAGGGAGTAACATAGCTGGGAGCCCCTCCTTCCTTTGCCACGGAGAGGCTGAGAATGGTTGTATTCTTGGGAGCCACCTGTAGTGTACCTCAGAGCTCACGCTGTCTCCATTCATTTAAGACGTATTTAAATAAAAGGGTATGCTGGGCACCGGTGGCTCACACCTGTCATCCTAGCTACTCAGGAGGCTGAGATCTGAGGATCGCGGTTCAAAGCCAGCCTGGGCAGGAAAGTCTGTGAGACTCTTCTCTCCAATTAAACACCAGAAAACAGAAAGTGGTGCTGTGGGTCAAGTGGTAGAACCTTCGCCTTGAGCTAAAGAGCTCAGGAACAGTGCACAGTCCCAGAGTTCAAGCCCCACAACCAACCAAAAAAAAAAAAAAGTGTTAACTGAAAAACCTTCCATGAGAAAACAAGACAGAATCTTCATGTGGTTGGTGTTCAGTCAGATCCAACCTCTGATTCTTATTTCAAATGTCACTAAAGGGGGCTTTGTGGACCCCATGTCCTGGAATGAGGAAGGGCGGGAACGGGGCATACCTGTCCTTTGAGCCCTTCCCTCTTTAAAGGGCCAGCAAGCCTCAGTTCTTCTGAGTGGGCCTGAACACTCAGCTCTGCATTCCAAAGATTCATATTGCTAGTTTGCCGGGCTCTAACCTGACCAGCTGGTGTCTTGCAGTCTTTCAACAAATACTCCTGAGAATTGGCTCTTGCTTCGTACAGAGGAGACAACATACAGATGGAGAAAGGCCCAGGCTTGCCTGGGAACACTGACCTTAGGAAGAGGAGACAGTCGTGTCACCATTAGGTGGTCAGGGCAAGAGGCCACAGGAGCTTCCAGGAAGGGCAGTAACTGTAACTTAGCCGGGAAATGAGTGCTTCTCAGGCACCGGAAGGAAGGCAGCTGGGGACCAGTGTGTGAGGACTGGAACCACACGTGCAGATCCGAGGAGACAGTAGCGGGGCTTTGGGGGAACTGCCAGATACCTAGGTGGCAGAATCCTAGTCCGGTAAAGCCAATGGGGCAAATCATAAAGGATCTTGATCAAACCAGAAGTGCATTAAAGATCCCCCTAAAGGGTCCTGAGCAGGAGAGAGATGTGGGCAGGTGGATGTTTTTTAAAATCTTTTTTTTGGGGGGGAGGGGTGTTGGGGTGTGAGTTTAGGACTCTTATCACTTGAGCCATGTGCCCAACTCTTTTTGCTTTCATTTATTTTTCAGATAGGGTCTGGCGCTTTTGCCTGGGAACAGCCTTGGACTGGGATCCTCCTCCTCTTCCCCCACCCCTCCCACGCCGCACTGGGATCACAGGTGCAAACTACCATGCCCATCTGTGCTCTTTTATTCTCGTTGGGAGCTCTTCCTTTATTCTGCAGATTCTGAGTAGCTGGCTTCCGGATGCTAGGCCTGACCAAAGTTCTGCCCTCTGAAGCTTGCATTTAACTTTCCTCTTTTTATTTGCTTATTTTTGCTCAAGACTGGGACTGGAACTCAGTACCTGACACTCCCTCATTGGCTGGCACTCTACCAACTGAGCCATGCCTTTCACCCTTTTCCTTTTAAAGGCTTGCCCTTAGACTGGTTATCTTAGAGTCCAGCGCAGCCATAGGGACTGAGAGAAGGTAAGTGGGAAAGCTTCCTTGTGAAGCAGGCAGAGTGAGTTGGTATTAAAGTGGTGTGCAAGTCCCTTTGCCCTGCAGAGGTGAAGTTTTCTCTCCCTGGCTAGTTTCCCACAAACTTTTCTGCTTGTGATGAGTGACACTTGTGTTTGGGTTGTTCCCCCCCCCCCCCCCACCACCACTAAAAGCCTAATGCATGACCAAGAAAAATGTTTTAAAAAGCATGGTGTAGGATTTATCTTCTGTCTTCCTTGGTCTGTGTCTTCCATTTGCAATCCCTCTGATATCTGAGGGTGGGCTGTAGTTCTCTAGATTCTTTAACTCTTGGGCTTATTTTATCATTTGGTGTGTATTGGAGACATATTTCTCCTGATTGGTTAGTGCTTAAGAATAGATCTCTGTTCTAAGCCAATCAGTGAGCAGCTTGTGAAAGCCCAGCTTTGGAGCCATGGCTGTATAGTGTATATACTTACTTTTCCAGGGATCCGACAGCAGTGCTGTTAACACCAGCCATGATAGGAATAGACCACAGAGAATACTTCACAGAGTTCATTGTCTGAGAGTTGCCTAATGATTGGAGCTGATAGAAAGGTGACAGTTGCACTGGGCGCCGGTGGCTCACGCCTGTCATCCTAGCTACTCAGGAGGCCGAGATCTGAGGATCGCGGTTCAAAGGCAGCCCAGGCAGGAAAGTCTGTGAGACTCTTACCTGTAGTAAACCACTCAGAAAAACACCAGAAATGGTGCAGTGGCTCAAGTGGTAGGAACTAGCCTGAGGGACAGCATTCAGGCCCAGAGTTCAAGCCCCATGACTGACAAAAAGAAAGGTGACAGATGCATGTGGACGCAGGGTGTGTGTGTCCTGCTGTAGGCAAAGTGAGCAGCTCTCTCTCCCCCCGCAGTGCTGATGGCGCAGGCTGGAACACAGGCTCTCTGAACACCGTTCCAGTCAGTATTTCTTTCAGGATCAATGTAAACATGTATTCATTGCTTAGACAATGAAAGAGTTCATCAGCACTGATCATTCCACGAAGGGGGGGGGGCAGTGCTACAGGTAGTGGCCAGAGGAGAGGCCAATGGAGCCCTGGAATTATTCATAAGCTCAGCGAGCAGGGCATTGGAGGGGTCCTTCCTGGTCCAACAGGCTCCCCAGCTTCCACGGGGCTGGACCCTCACCGCACTTCACCAAGCGTGTGTATATGAATGCTCCCAGAGAAAGGGTTTGGAAGCCCATAAGCCACAGCTCTGGGAAAAGCTGCCCTCCCCTTTGCCAAGGGAACTCCGCCCCCTGTAGATGCCAACCAACCAGCTGTATCTGAGTGTTTACCTGGGTAGCAGGCAGGGCCTGGGTGCTTGGGGAAGCTGGGCGGCAGAGCAGGCACAGGGGGGGGGGTCCTCCTCCGGCAGGGGCGGGGCGACTGGCGTTAGAATTAGGGTATGAGATCTCAGGTGGCTAGCCCCTTGGAAGGAAGGGCTGGAAACTGCATCTGCAGGGTACACAAAACTGGTGCAAGTTCCCGGACAGGGCAAACAGAGGGACATTTAAAAGCAGTTTTAGTTGGGTCCCAGGGGCTACTGTAGCTGCCACGCCCTCCAGCTCCCCAATCCACTGGGGAAACTGGAAAGTTTTAGCCTGGGGGTGTCCTGGTTAGGGATCAGCTGGGTCTGTATAAGGCTAGAGTCTCAGCGTGGAGCAAGCTACCCCAGACTAGACAGTGGTACGGACACAGCAGGACTGCAGGGCAGGAGCTCCTATGTGACACCAGGACTGGGACTGCTAGAGCAACTGCAGACAGGGCTGGGCGCAGTGAAGCTGGTTTGCATGCAGAGAGGGGAAGAGGTCATCGCCAGCGCTCCTGGGCACCCGCGTGCCTCGCCCAGCCTCCTGCCTGCCCTGGTGGTAGAGGGCTCTTGTTCTTACACCACCCTGTTCCTGGGAGCCTCACCCCTGCCTCTGATCTCCCCATCACATCTCCCCGTGACCAGCTCTGCAACCATTTGCCATGGGATGAGCTTTGGGTTTCTTCACATGCGGCTTATGTTTATTGTGGTATTGCTCAGTGTGTGTATGTGTGATGTATGTGCACGTATGCACACATGCACACCAGTACCGGGGCTTGAACTCCAGGGCCTGAGCACTGCCTTTAGTGTTTCCACTCAGTGTTAGTTGGTGCCCCTACCACTTGAACCACAGTTCTACTTCCAGCTTTTTGGTGGTTCAATGGGGATAAGAGTCTCATGGACTTTCCTGCTTGGGCTGGCTTTGCCCTATGATCCTCAGATCTCAGCCTTCTGAGTGGTACTGATGTTTGAACTAGGGTCTGACGCTTGCTTGGCTTATAGGGCCATCACCTGAGCCATGTTGCAAACTTGCTTTTTGCTGGTTGTTTTGGAGATGGAGTCTCGTGGACTTTCCTGCGTGGCTTTGGGCCATAATCTTCTGGAACTCAGCCTCCTGAGTAGCTAAGATGACAGGTGTGAGCTGCCAGTGCCTGGTCTATTAGTCTGTTTTTGTTGTGTTATTGTATCAAGTTATCCACGGCAGGCAGCTTTCTAAAGAAAAGAGATTACTTTGGACTCCCCGTTCTGGAAGTAGGAAGCCAAGGGCCCAAAGTTGAGAGTCACATCTGGTGATGGCCCTCTTGATGGCAGAGTCTGAGGTGGTAGAGAGGATCTAGCGGCACCTGTGCGTGCCCCTCCCCCTGTCCCTGTCATAAAGCTGCCAGGGTCTCTCCTGGGGCTCCACCCCGAGCCCTCACCTAATCCTAATCACCTCTCCACGGGCCAGCCTGCGCGCGCTGTGGCCAGGCTGTTTCCACCTCTCAGGATTACCATGAGAACAAAATCACACGACGCCTTGGGGACACTCAGCCACATCCAAACCGTGGCCGCACAGGAGTAAGGACCAGCAGGATCCTCTCAGGATTGGTGCACGACTTCCTGACCTAGGCTGATGATGGTAAAAGAGCCACCGGGCTCGTGTGCTGTGATGACAGCCAGGCAGTGTGAGTGTGTGTGTGTGTGTGTGTGCGTGTGCACATGTGTGTGCGTGCTATGAGCGGTACCTGAAGACAGACTGAGGGCCTAGGATAGAGGACTGTCCTCTCCTCAGAGCAGGGAGCGTGCAGCGTCCCATAGGGGCATTGGTTCCCCAGACCAGGCCATTTCCCAGCCTCTCCCGCAGTCACATGAGCTCTTGTAGCCATATCCTAGGTAAGAGCTTGTTGTAGGAGCAGCATGCTTCACTCTGAGGCCAGCCCCTAAAATCCCCCTTGTGTAGTAGGTGCCAGTGGTTCTCACTTGTAATCCTTGTTACTTGGGAGGCTGAGGTCAGAAGGATTGCAGCTGGAGGCCGGCCTGGGCAGACAGAAGTTTGTAAGCCCTCCTCTCATCTCATAATGGGGCACAGTGACACTCATCATCCTAAGCTAATTGAGGGAGGAGGGTTGAGATTGGGAAGAAAAAGTCCGCAGAACTCCGTCTCTACCAAGGGCAGTTGGGCGCAGTGGCCTGGGCCTGATCTAGCAATGAAGGACCTCCGAAGTAGGTGGACTTCAGCTCAGGCACATGTCTGGGCGGGAACTTGGGCCCAGGAAGCACGAGGCCCTAAGTTCAAGCCCCCAGTACTGCAGAAACAACAAAACACACAAAAAACCTCGAGACTCCTTCATTGAAGAGGAGTCAGTCAAGGTGAGATGTGAGCTGTCCACCCGCCACCAGAGAGGGGACTGGGATCCTTGACCCCCAGGGCCAGGCCAGCGCCCAGGGCCGGGCCAGCCGCGTGGCTGGCGCTCAGCCCCTCGGCATGCGTCACGTCGGGCAGGGCAGGTGCTGTGGGAACACGCAGTTGGCCATTCGGGCTGTGGCTGGGTCCCAGGAGCCTCCAGGGTGGTGGGGAGGGGTGGTGGGTGAGCGCCACTCAGCTGGTGGACGAGGAAGGCACTCCAGGCCGGACAAGCAGCCAATACTTGGAGGCTGTGGGTGGGGATGGGGCCAGGCTGCCCTCCCCTTCTCCCTTCCTCCCCTCTCCTCCCTTCCTCTCCCTTTCCCCTCATCGAGATGTGGTTTCAGGGCCATGTGCATTCTATCTCTAAACTAGACCTCTAGCCTCTTTCATTTTGTGTTTTGCTTTTGGGGTTAGGGTCTTGCTAACTACTAGCCTTGAACTTGCAATCTGCCTGCCATCCTTGTAACTGGGATTACAGGTGTATGCCACTATGCCCAGATGTGCAATCCCTCCGAAGGGAAGAATGTGTGTCGGTCCTAGCAGGCCTGGGTACTAATGGTTTCCCTTGGGAGAATGGCATCCGGATTTCCAGCAGGCCTGCTAGAGAGCAGGGACAAAGTCAGCCCCGTTGGGAGAGGAGCTTCGGGGCTGCTAGAGAGAGATGTGTTGGGATTATAAGCTTTCAGCCCAAAAGCATTGGGTTGTTGGTCTGTGAACCATCTTGGTTGCCAAGCCTGAAAACGGGCTCACGTGCATGCCCTTGCGTTCCCTGCCCAGTGAGCATGCGCTGTGTGCGGGAGGTCGCACAGAGCAGTGAGTGTCGTTAGAAACAGAGTCGCTAATTGTGTCTGAAATCACCCTCCACTCTCAACTCTGAGCCCTCAAAGCTGGATTCCACAAGAGGGCACAGTGCAGGACCCCCACGACAAGGGTTCGAAACCATCTCACCCCTGCTAGGCCCAGCTGCACAACTGCCCAGCAGTGTCCGGGAAGCCTGCTGTCTCTGGCCCTCACAGCTGGGTCTGTGTGGGACAGATGCCCTGGAGTGCCTTTGGGGCTGTAGAGACGTGTTAGGGGTGAGCTACAGGCCCTGGCATAAGGTGTTACGTGCCAGGCTAACCAGGGCTCCTAGTTGCGTGGCCTCATGAATTCTTGTCCATTTGGCTCAGTGGTCCAGTTACCGTAGAAAAAGCATCAAGGCAACCCCAGAGTGGGTGGAGGCTGTGGCCTCCTTCCCCCCCCCCCCCCATTGCCCCCCTAGAACCCTCATTACTGCCATTTAGACTACCGGGTTATTCGTGGTTTCTCTCCCCACCGGCTCGGGAGAGCCGAGCATCGAGTTCCTGAAGCTGAATGCACGGGGCTCTGAGTAAGCCCCTGCCACCCCAGAAAACAGGGGCAGCCGTCCACCCACCGCAGTGGGAGGGAGACATGAGAGCGTGCGTAGTGCGGTGGCCCGCAGAGGATGGAGCAGCGGGATGAGCTTGCGGGCTGATTGCCAGGTGCGAGGGATACAGGACATCTGGCAAAAGGGAGCAGTGGCTTCGGAGGCGGCGGCCCCGGGGGCGGGAGTGACTGAGGCTTTGGCTTCCTGGGTCCGACTTCAGAGTACTGGTAAAGCTGGACAGCTGTGCTGGGCCTGGGTTTCTAGGGCATTACGTGGTGGCCTGGTGTCCTGATTTTTACCTCGAGACTCGTGCGGCCCTGACAAGCTTTTGGGACAGCACATACTCAATGAGTGAGAGCAGAGTTGCCCTGCCCATGATGTAGAAAGTGGATCGGAGAAGATGGGCCTAGTCGAGGAGACCTTGGCTGGAGGCATTTGTGATCACGTGGCTGAGTGACTAGACTGGGGGTACTGGGGTTGGGGGGACAGCGAGGGGAAACGCGCCTCCCTGCTCTCTACAGACATCCCTGCCACAGGGCAGTAACTCCTGTACTCTGCTCCTTCGTCTCCCAGGTCGGAGTTGTGACATCATGATAGAACCAGGGTGTCTGGCTTTGTGTCTCCGTTCTTTTTGTTGTTGTTTTTTTCCCAGTTGTGGCTTGAACTCAGGGCCTGGGCACTGTCCCTGAGCTCTTTTGCTCAAGGCTAGTAGTAGTGCTCTGCCACTTTGAGCCACAGCACCACTTCCAGTTTTCTGGTGTTAAATGGACTGTATGCTGCCCAGGCTGGCTTTGAACCGCAATCCTCAGATCTCAACCTCGTGAGTAGCTAGGATTATAGGCATGAGCCTGTAGGCCTGGGCCCCTGGCTTTTACATCTGTGTTCTAAAGGGGAGACAACACTGTCTTCTTGTTACTGCAAATATATTACCCCCGTCTCAAATATATAAAAATGCAATTATTAAAGTATGCGGAATATAACCAGGAAATCCTATTTTAAAGACATAGCAAGGTATGAAGGCAAGGCACTATTCAAGGTTATTGCCATTGTGACCTTTAAAATGCAGATGACCAATGTTGGTGTTGGGGTGTAGACGTCCGCTTTCTCTCTTCAGCCGTGCACGTGAACCAGAGCGCCCTGCAGTGCCCCCTGCAGTGCCCCCTGCTGGCCGGGCCTGTGCCTAGCAGGGGTCTGCGCGCGCCTGGAGGAAGGGTGCTGTCCACAGCGATCCTGACCGCTGTGCCTCTTGCTTTCCCAGTGTGCTCACTGACCTGCCTCCAGAACCACCGCCATGTCCAGCCGCGGGGGGAAGAAGAAATCCACCAAGACCTCGCGGTCCGCCAAGGCGGGAGTCATCTTCCCTGTGGGGCGCATGCTGCGGTATATCAAGAAAGGCCACCCCAAGTACAGGATCGGAGTGGGGGCGCCCGTGTACATGGCTGCCGTCCTGGAGTATCTGACAGGTGAGTGAGCTCGCGTCTCGCAGACACCAGAGCCGCAGATGTGGCGGTTCTGTCCGCTCTCCGAGGACGGGGGTGGGGGGGGGGACCTTTTCCTGTTGAAACCTAGCAGAAAGTCACGAGAATAGCACAGTGATTATTCCCACGGGGAGTTGCCAGCTATGAACATTTTGTCCCATTTGCTTTCTTTCTTCCTACTGTCGGTGTGTTATTTAATTTTGATCAAGTCTGAATTTTTTTTTTTGGGGGGGTCAGTCCAGGGGGCTTGATCTCTGGGACTCTGGGTTGGGCGCTGTCCCTCAGCTCTTCAGCTCAAGGCTGGTGCTCTACCACTTGAGCCACAGCGCCACTTCCAGTTTTCTGGTGGTTAATTGGAGATAGGAGTCTCATGGATGGTCCTGCTTGGGCTGGCTTTGAACCGTGATCCTCAGATCTCAGCCTCCTGAGTAGCTAGGATGACAGGCGTGAGCCACTGGTGCCTGGCAAGTCTGCATTCTTGCATGACATTGGCCTTTTTTTTGCTGTCAAGCTGGTGCTTGAGCTCAGGGTCTGGGTGTGTCTTGTAGCTTTTTCATTTGAGACTAGTGCTCTACCACTTGAGCCATAGCTCCCCTTTTGGCGCTTTGGTGGTAAATTAGAGATGAAGAGTCTCATAGTCTTTCTTCTCTGGGCTGGTTTTGGATCTCGATCCTCAGATCTCAGCCTCCTGAGTAGCTAGGAGTTACAGATTTGAGCCACCAGTGCCCAGCTATGTCATGGACAATTTTGAAGTATCCAGGCAAGTTGTTCTGCAGTGTGTCCGTCCCTCTGGGTGAGTCTGTGATTCAAGACTCACCAGTGTGTGAGTCTGTGCCTCCCACCAGGCGTGGTCTGTTCTGTGGCATGTATACCAGTGCTGAGGTGACGTCTGTATTTCTGCCTATTTTGTACCACAGTATTTCACCCAGTGGCTTTACCTTAATCCCATGCTACCAGGCATTGGTCATTCTTTCAGTCCCCATCAATCAGTGCTTTCCCTCTGTCTGTGCTGTTAGCGTTGGCTCACAAATTGTTTCAGTGCGTTCTTCTCCATTCATGCCATTCTTCACTTTTACCACCCAGATTAGCTGAACTTTGAACTTCAGGCCTTCTCTTAGGTCCTTCGGGTGTGTGTCCGCTGGCTTCTGTGTGTTTCCTGGCTGTCAGCAGAAGGGCGTGCCAATCTTGCCTTGAGCTTCCCTTGCCCCAGTCTTGGGGCTGGCTGTCTCCCTTTCACGGTCTCTCTAATCTTCTTTGTGACTTCATAAAAATCGCAGGAGGCCAGGAGTGGTGCTCTTCCCCACTTTTTAGTGAGGTGAAAACCAGGCTGGAAGCATAAAAGCCTCGCCTAGAGTTTTGCACACACTATCAAGAGGCTGAGAAGGCCAAGCCTGCTTGTTCTGTTCCAATGTTTTCACCACTTAACTGCTCCCTCGTGATGAGCTAGGTTTTGGGTACCAGGAAGCAGCACCATGATTTCATGCAGCCACCTGCCCTGCAGCCAGAAAGGGGAGATTGGGCAAGACGAGGCACTTTTTCCGCAGTGGCACAGCCAGGTAGGAGAGAAGAAGGGGCTGCACCTGCTCTCCCAGGGCTCCCAGCTCGGCAGGGCCAACAGCTCCCTGGAGTAGACAGTCGAGACAGCGATTATATTATTCTGTTGAAATCACCAGGCATAAAAAATAATCAGGTTCTACTTCTGAGGGGTGTGTGTGTGTGTGTGTGTGTGTGTGTGTGTGTGTGTGTGTGCGTGTGTGCGTGCGCGCGCGCGTGTGCGTGTGCGTGCCTGCTTGCTTGCATGGGTGCGCGCGCATGCATGTACCAGTACCAGAGCTTGAACTCAAAGCCTGGGCACTGTCCCTTAGCTTTTCCACTCAAAGTGAGCCACAGCTCCACTTCTGCTTTTTGGTGGTTAATTGGAGCCTCGCCTCGCTGAGGTTTCTGCCCAGGCTGCATCTGAATGGTGATCTCAGCCTTGGGAGTAGCTGCAATTACAAATGTAAGCCACTGGTGTCTTTTGGAGCTGCCGAGTGAGTCACGCCCGGGCCCCCACCTCCTGGCAGGCAGCAGACAGTGTCCTCTTCTGTCAGCAGCACATCCTGTGACAGAGATGCACCTTCAAACCCACACCCGTCACTCTCGCCACCTCTGACACTGGGCAAGAAGCATCCTTCAAACTTGAAAGAGGGGGCAGGCCTGCCGTTGTGCTGTTGGCTCTGTCACTTACCTTGAGAATGAGTTCTGAGCCTCTTCTCCACTTTCTGTCTGGGACGCCCAAGTGTGTCCTGGACTCTCACAGCTAAAAACAGAGCAGGAAGGGGACAGCGGGGTGCTCTCCTTTGAGGTTCCACAGCCCTCTGAATGCCTCTGTCCCTTGCCCGTGTCTCTCACTACCTCTTAGACATTTCAGGCCAGGCTCGGCCAACCCTTGCTAGCTAGCATCTGCTAGGGCGTTCACACTGCCCTAGAGCTCAGATGACTGCTTACAGAGTTGTGCAGAGTCCTTTGCCTGCCCCATTTACACAGACACACAAACACAGACACACACAGACACACACACACACACACACACACATACACACACACACAGACGAAGAATTTTAAGAATTGGAAGGTTGCAACTAGAAGGAAGTTGAAACTTACTTGTAATCCCCCCTACCCTCGTTCTATGATAGACAGCCATTGGTGTCTGAGCATGGTGAACATATGTATAAAACACAATTGGATCAGAGTCTGATTGTGAACAGACACAATTGTCCACTCTTGCTGAAGACCAATCTCAGAATCATCACTACGAGGTCTTAGACGCCATAAGGAGGCCCTACCAGCCAGTCCTCCCCTCAGTCTCCTGACGGAGTGCGTAGCTCCCGGGGGGGGGGGGGGGGGTGCTTGATGGAGAATGGGTTCAGCACTATTCCCGCGTGGTGGCCGTGGCTCCCCGTCCTCCCCAGCCCCAGCAGGGTGAGGAAGTGCTGGAGGCTGGCCTGAGGACGTGCTGCTTCCAGGCACTTGTAGATAAGAACTGAGTTTTCATCTCCTCCTTCATCTGTTCCTGAAGAGTTCACGAAGTTGTGCAAGCATGTGTAGACGTGGCCTGGTGCACCTCATGAAATAATTTCCCCCTGTCTCCCTTCCAGTGCAAACTCACATTCTAGTATCAGAAAGGCCTCAATGCTGCTTTCTTTGTTTCTCGTTTTTAAAATTTATTTTTTGAGACAGGGTCTCCCTGTGTGCTCAGAGTGGCCTCGAACTCAGAATCCTCCTGCCTCAGCCTCTCGGAGCCAGGATTGTGGGTACACACTACCCAGCTTGGATTACTGCTTGTCTTTTGAAATCTCTCTCCCTTTCTTTCTCTCTCTCTTTTCTTTTTGGAATTTCTTCTTCCATGTAGGGACCAAGCCTGGGGCCTCCCTCCTGCCTGATAGACAAGTGCTGTACCCCCAAGCTACCTCCCCATCCCTCAGCAGTGTCTTTTACAGAGTAGAACAGTTTAAACTGAATGAAATCCAGCCTGTCAGTTACTATTTTGTGTGGCACTGGGGATTGAACTCAGGACCTTGGGCTTGTGAGGCAAGTGTTCCCCTCCCCCTCCCTCTCCCCTTTTTTGCTTTAGTTTGGTTTTCATTGTATCTCTTGTCTATGGTGCTTTTACCTGGACCAGCCTTGGCTCAAGATGCTCCTGTCATCTACTGAGTAGTGAGGATTATAGATTATAGGCTGGATAGTGTGGTCACCACCAGACCCAGAGACCTCTGGGTTTTCCTTTGGGCTGTCAGGAGTTGGATGGTTTTGTGAGCTGCCTTAGGTCCTTGTGATCTGTTTTGAGCTAGATTTTATAGCGTGTATCATCGGTGTGAAGACTCAGCATCACCATCCTGCTTTCCTTAGGGTAAGCTGGGTTGCTTAGAAATCGCTAATGGCTACAAAGTCTCAACGTTTCTCCACGTCATGACCTTGAAGGGCAATAAGCAGTGTTCATCTGTGTGCATCAGTCCACGGAAGGGTACGTGGCCCCATACAAAGGGTTGGGTTAGTGGACTAGTTGACAGTACCCCAAACCCACGTTTGATTTGAGATAAGGATAGAGGTGTGGTCAAAATGTAGTGTGCTTTCTTTTATCTAGACTCTCCCTCTGAGTCATCGATTGGTCTTTTGATGCTAAATAGTTGCCTTGGTCTCGAGCTCATCCTTAAAGCTTACCAGGCATGGTCACCTTAACTGTATCCTCAGTCAGCCCCAGCCACTCAGCATGGAACCCAGAATTCAACATCTAGTAGTGTTTTCATTTCATTTTCCATTCATGTTTTCCTATACTACTTTTCTGGGTAGTTATTTCTGATCTGTCCTCCAGAATCATTTCCATTTTACTAATTCTCTCTCTCTAGCTATAGCTAACCCTAATGATCAGTGAATTTTATTTTATTTTTTATTTTTATTTTTTTGGGGTCCGGTCGTGGGGCCTGAACTCTGGGCCTGGGCGCTGTCCCTCAGCTCTTCAGCTTAAGGCTAGTGCTCTACCACTTGAGCCACAGCACCACTTCCGGTTTTTTTCTTTTTGCTTATGTGGTGCTGAGGAATCGAACCCAGGGCCTCAGGCATGCAAGGCAAGCGCTGTACCACTGAGCCACCTTCCCAGCCGATCAGTGAATTTTAAATTGCAGTTATGACACTTGCATTTCTGTCAATTCTATAGGATAAATGCATGTGGTCTTTTTTTTTTTTTTTTTTTTGTCGGTCATGGGGCTTGAACTCTGGGCCTGGGCACTGTCCCTCAGCTCTTCAGCTCAAGGCGAGTGCTCTACCACTTGAGCCACA